AAGACGATTGCTGACAAGTGGAGGAAGCTGATGGGGAAGGGAAGGGGGGTGAGCACGTGGAGTTTTTTTTGAACACGCCGATGGCTCCCTTCAGTGTCAATGAAGTCGGTCAAAGCCATTGGACGCCCGCCGGCCGTGGCGCAGCCCCCGCGGCGGACGTGCGAGCGATGGCCCAGCGGTCTTAATCAAGTGCACGCGCGACGACGTGGGGGGGGGGGTCCAGAGGGGGGATGCGACGAGTCTGGTAAACGCTGCGCTGCCATCCCACGCCGTTCCACGCAGCCACCTCCACCTTGCTCCAGCTTCTGCGGCGGACGATGTCCGTAACCCCCTGGTCATGGCCCTGGAAGGCCTGCTTTCTTTGCCTAGGTATCGTCAGCAGAGGCGTGCTTGTTGTGCGAGATGTAATTGGCAAGAGCACTCAAAATAAACTATCACTTTGAGAAAAATCTGATCTGTTGCACGCAGATGTTGCTGAGCACCCTGCGCGTTGTGATGCACGACCTAGGGAAGGCGTATTCCTGTACTTGTCAACAGAGACTGGTCGAGTACGTCGACAATGGGAAAGGGTTTGAGCATGGGATGATTGAGAGAGCACATAATCGGTTACAGCCGAGTTACAGCATTCTAAGTTACACAATGTTTGGTGTGAGATGCGATCCACATGTAGACATCCTCGAAGGAGGGTATGCAATTGTGCTGTACATTTTCTGACTTTCACTGGGCTTTCATTAAGAAATTAGAGAAATAACATACGTTATTTGTAACAAAATTGCCCTGATTTTATTGATTCAAAAAAGTAAAAAAAATAACAACTATCTTCCAATATCGAATGCTTCTGTTTAATGGTTACTACTGGAGTCGAGGCAATTCACAGCAACATGAGGAAATATTTCCTAAACAATTTTTTTTATTGTGAAGGGCAGACGTGAAGATGCACGGTGAAATAATTAAAGCCATCGCACATCGGCAAAACAACATCGGCTTTATATTCTTGGTTCTTTCGGTAAAGCTTTAAATCAAAATTTAGCATCGCCTTTGTAACAACCCATGGGAATGAACTGCAGGAAAACGATTGAAGGCTTTAATAATTCACGTACAAGTAGTTCACAAAAAAAGAGAATATGTTGTTGGACTTTACACAACTGGAAAACACACCAAAATATGGGTATCTTGGGCAATCATTTTAGGCCAGACTATGATCAAAGTGAGCTACATTGTCTTATTTAACTTCTTATATTAATTAGTTTATTTAGTGGTAATACTGTTTGATTTAATGAAGGGCTTGTCTGTTATTCAACAGATACTGTGAGGTAATAATTCAATACTCTATTTAAAAACTAGTCAATGGAATCACATTTTTTAAAAAATGAGAATCACATTTTTTAAATGTGATTCTCATCAGGCCACGCGGTGTTAAGTGCAGTCTCCAACTCTTATTATCCATCCTATCTCTATGGCCTCCTTATTTACGTGCTATCAAGAATAGTCATTGTCCATAACATCACCTCATTAGATATTTTTACTTTTAAGGCCACAGTGTTATGTCGGTGTAAAAATGTTGATGAAATTAAAGAGGTGCACATGAAGAGGATGGAGCGATTTTTTTTACGCAAACGTGACAATGAAAGCAACATACCAATGCACCTCAAAAAGAGGGTGTTTTACTGAGTGGGCATTGCATACTGTGGTATATGTACTCTAACAAAGAACGTGGAACACAAACGGAAAGGTTCACCAAAGTGGCACGGAGAGATTCAAATGTATTTACTGTTGGAATAGATCGTGTAGGTATCGTGTTAATTTATTGACTATAAACTTCCACAAACCTGACAAACGCCAATCAAATAAAAGTTGTCAAGTGCACAAATATGCCAATTTTTTTTTTCCCCAGCAAACCAGAATGTTGAAAAGCAAGATCTGGCACACGGAGATGCATGCTGGGAACTGAAACTGGGGGGACAGAAAGAGGCACACGTGGGTCAGAGTAGAACACACAAATTCGTGGCATCACATTGAATGTCAAGGAACGAAAGTGAGCTTGGGCAGCACACGTCTTTAGGAGGCATGGTGGCTGATGGACAAGACTGGTGATTGAATGGCAGCCGAAAGAGATACTTTCTGAGAGGATTGCAGCTGCAGTGACAGATTGCTGTGATTAGCCAGCGCAGGAGAGGGATGGATTATGGCATCTTAAGACCACCAAAGATGGTGAGGAATTGTGAAGGCCTTCATCCAGCAGTGGACAGTTCATGGCTGTTGATGACTGGAGTCATATACTTCGCTCGACACATTGTTTTATAGACGTGTCTTCATTACAATTTGCAATTTGTCACGTGTAGCTTACGTCAACTTGAAACTTATTGACTGCACCCAAAATCAATGTATTAGCCAAAACATAAAGAACTTCTAAATAATTGTTGTGCTCGAGAGTTGGCTAAGTTTTTTGGACAGCCATCTAGATTTTCACCCCCATCTGTCGCTTTTCCAAACGAACTTCATTCGAATAAACAATAACGGGGCCAAAATGCACAACTGCGTCACGATATCCATAATGGACGACATGACTCCAATGAGACGGCATCCCCCCACTTGCCATTTGATACGGACAGGAAAGAAGGGAAGATATTTAATACGTTGGCGCACGAAAAGAATGACCTAATGGAGTTAATAACTCATGTTGGCGACAACAACGACTTACAGATGCAGGGCTATCACACAGGCAGGGCCGGATTACCGCATGGGCTTGAGGAGCTACAGCCTGGAACCTCGCATTTTGAGGGCCGGGCCTCCACCACCTCCCATTTACACGCACGGCTCTGTGACGGTTGAAACGCAATACTGTAAGCACGATCATTCCTATTGAACTTTGATTTAGCTTTACCATTCGCACACCACTTTTACAAAACTGGAACTGAAGTGACGGAGCTTCATGACAGTCGAGTGGCTTGACGTCCGCGCATCTGTGAGGGCGAAACTGCATAAGCGAAGGAATTTAATATACCACTAGTGGCCCCCCAAAACATATATATTATCCCCCCTACCCCTTCTGGATTACAGGAAGGCAGACGCATCCTGCGAGGGAGGGGGGGGGGTTACGGCCATTGATGTTGGAGGTGGCGCTTGAAGCGGCCACGCTCATCAGCGATGTAACAACACTGCGAAAGAGCGAGGAACGCGGCCAATAAAAAGAAAGGAGCAACAAGGCCAATAAAAGCCAGCGTCGTGCCAACGTGCAGCATCCTCTCAAAGGTTGTGCGGCAGTAAAATGTAACAGCTATGTTGACTCCGGAACAGACCTGTGCAGAGGTCAGACTAATATTAAAACAACTTGTAGCTCTTAAAGCTCTATTACCTGACAGGGGTGATTTAACTTTGTTTGCCCCAGTGATGCTTCTGGGCTCTCTTAAAAACTTTAAATGCGTCGGCGCTCGTACGAGGTTAAGGGATGCACCCACCGTTCCTGTTCGAGTAATACTTGTGTTTCGATGTGAATGCTCATTGTGCCAACTAAAAGATATTATTCGTTAAGTTGGTTGATGCAACTTACCGCTAATTATTTAAACGGTACACCTATGCTCCGGAAAACAAAGGCCTTCTATCAAGAACCCGAGTTAAAAGTGATTCATACTTAATATTTGGGTCAGATTGCCACGTGAGGAAAATGCCAATGTGTGTCGTACACCCTCCCTCCACCTGACACAGCCAAACAAAGTTGTCACTGAAACAAACGTGCCAATTTATTATTGCATCAGTACAGCAGCGTGTGTGAGAGAGAGCGATGCGCACATGTCGTTTAACAATTTTGCAACGAGCAACTACAAAATTGGACCTTTGTTTTTGCCAGTATCAAAGTATGAAAAAATCAAAATAAGTTTTACCCTTTCTGGCAATAACACAGGTGTTAAAATGTTCAAACACTAAATATAAACATTTTGCAACAAATTGTGTTTGCATTAACCGCACGAACTTGTCGTGAACATGCAAACAAATGGCCTTCTTTAGGACTTAGTCTCAACAGGGCCTAGTCTCAAGGCTGTCTCTGGTGTAGGTCAATCCGTTTCAAAGACAATGCCATATATTATCCGAGCATGTTTGTTTGCATGTCCACCACAAGTACTGTGTGTGGTTAATGCGAACTTGAATCCTTGCATAAGGTTTATATTTGGTGTTTGAACATCTTAACACCTGTTTTATTGCCAGAAAGGGTAACACCTATTCTTATTTTTTTTATAATTTGATAGACGTTTCGCTGGGAGTTGCAACCAGCATCGCCAGGTGATTTCCAAAATTATAAAAAATAACATTGGCCGCGAAGGCCTGTGTGTTAAAATTTCCCGAGTCGCTGTGTTAGTGGTGGCTTCTTCTCCTCTGCTGCCCCTACAGCCCCCCCCCCCCCCCCCCTATCAAATAGCCTCTCACGCCATGCAGGTCAGGGGGTCTATTTGACCATACTTCATCACGCATGGTCAGTGCGAGCAGGTAACGTGGGAGGGCGGGTGAGGGCTACTTCACATATCGCTTTGCCACCGATGTTATCCATGGCCCTGAGTTGAACTCAGGTTACTACCACAGTGCACTAACCGCTGCAGCACCACTCACTCTGTACAAGACAAGACTCACTGAAAACTATAATTACACGGGAAAAGGCACCTAACAGCTATACTTGAAACATGTGGAATGCTTTTAGCAACCAATCAAAATGTGAATACATCTTTAAGGCTCTGCCTATAATGGCCACATTTGGTGAACTGCATGTAACATTCCTCCCAGCTGTAATAACGGACTTGGATTTGGGCAACTTGCAGTGCCCTTAAATAGAGCATCGTCTTGGCTAGGGGTTGTACAATCTAGCTTCATTAAACGTGGCATATCCAGTGAGTTGTATTTATGGATCATTTACGCAAGAGATGCAATTGCGGCTTAGAAGGCATCAGCAAAAAGTGATCGCATCTGTGCGTGCGTGTAAGCATGGTGCAAATTCTCCGCTGTTCCCACAGATAAACGGGGGTCTGCAGCCAAACAACTGCTCTTTGTACAAGTCTTATGTACAGCCCTTTTGTCAATCCGCACTACTCGATGAGGGCCACAAAGGTAAGCGGGGGCTATTCGACCATGCCATTACCATTCTGGTCGGTGTGGGTTGGTCAAAGGAGAGAACATGGACTGGTCTCGATTACATTCGCCACTGATGTCAGCCGTGGACGTTATCTCAAATTTATGTCACTGGGCTCATAGTCACGTGCACCAACTGCGGCCCCACCACCTCTCTGCGGATAGAGCGCGTGCATTCAATGTATACATCATTTTTTTAAAAACCCCTGCGTGTGCGTGCGCGTATTGGGAGTGGTAGTACAACGTTAAACCCGAGTTCGATTCCCGCCCACGGCCAACACCAGGGACGATTATCTGAAGGGTTTCTGAGCCTCCTCTAGGTCGACTCAGCCTCAAAACAAGTACCCGGTGCGGTGTGTAAAGAAACACCGCCACCAGGGAGACGAAGGCGGTGCCGGCCACCCACCCCCTCGTGCGCGCCATTCCCGCCTCAATAGGTGCTCGCTAATGGCACTTGCCCCGACAGTCCGTCGGCTATACGGGGGATCTTTGTCTTTGTTCGCGCGCGTGCGTGCGCGTGTGTGCGTGTGCGCGCGGTTGCCTTTGCGTGACTGGCATGAGAGCGACGCGATCGCATAATCAAGTCGCGTGTCAATCACCACTGGGCGCGCGGTGTCTCGCGCGTGGGTTGGCAGGCATCACCGCAGCGCGGGCGCGCGCGACCCTTTGCGTCATTTTATTTTACCTCTCCCAAGGTGGCTAGTGGAGGGGGGGGGGGGGGTGCCCTGTGCAGCAAGGACCCCATAACTCCGTCAGCCCTCGCCGCTTCATTCAATCGTGACCCACGACGTCCTTACGACTGGCTGAGTGATGCGCAGTGCGAGGGACGTGCGGTTCCCACTCGGGAGGGCTGCGTGTTATTTTTTACCCATTGGGTGTTTTGTTTGCTTGTTCTGTGCACAATACACGTGCGTGTATGTTTCAAGGTTTGTTTTATAGATCCTTTAAGAATCTTGACATTGTAATTGATAGATGGGAAATGAAGTGGGTAAATAGGTAGGTGTGTGGGTAGATAGATAGCTAAATGATTAAATGGATACATAGGTAGATAGGTTAGTGGGTAGGTAAGTGGGTAAATTAGTAGTTATGAGCATAGGTAGGTACATAGGTAAGTTGGTTGGTAGGTTAATCAGTGGGTGGGCGGGTAGGTAAGGTGGATAGGTGTACTATCAACCAGCGTCTTTAGCGAGCACAAGTTAACGTTCTGAGCAACAACCAAGCTAACAGTGTGCTTGCAGAGGGTTTGTGAGCACAGGCTCACGTGTTGTTCTGGTGAACATGCGCGTTCAGGGACGCACACGACGCTGCGTGCAGGCACAAATGGAGGCACGCGTGCGGTGGCCTAATGTAAGCACACGGAAGTGCAAACAAATCTATCGTTTTGTCGACTCCCCATGCATAAAACTTGCAGAGATATGCAAACTACGCTTGCAGTCACCGTTTTAAACAAAAACAAAGTAAGAGGCACAGTAGTCTGCAGGAATGTGTTTACACGAGAAAGATTTTAAATCTTAAACCATTTATCATTTTTTTACACAATTGTGACATTGGAATAGTCTACTTAGCTATGACTACACTTGAACAACTTCGAGTGTTACTAAAGTACTGGATGTGTCATTAAAATAAATTGTTATTCACGAACACTTGTAGCAATGCAGTAGAAAAAATACACTCATACAACACCTCCAGTATTTTCATTCTGCAAAGCAAGAGCATTTGATTTAAATAGATGAAACAAGTAAATTAAAATTTAAAAAAGGAATGGAATTACTTTGGAACTTTTTCAGCTGCCAAAATAAATATAACTTTGCCTTTTTTTTCCATGGGTTGGATATAAATGTTGATCTTTGTCCAGCCGAGTGCATTTTAGATCAACAATAAAACAAGTTACGTGTTAGAAACACATTTCTCCGGCCAGGAGAAAAAAAAGAAGTGGTTCAATTAGGAAAGAAGAGGCTTTCTCTGCAGTCTAATTAGCAGCACTGCATCACTGTTGTATTTCTGGAAACAAGTTTTGCTTTTTTTTGCGCAGGCGCCGTGGTGGTCAGAGGGCCCCGAGGTGGTGAGATGTTGACTCCCTCGCCTGGTATACAGGAGGTCGTGGGTTCCATCCCCACCCTGACGACTGAATATTTGGAGGTTGCGTGTCTCTCTCCCCGTTGTCGTGTGGATCGTTCTCTGGGTCCTCCGGTTTTCCCCTCCACATTTAGAAATAGGCGTTTAGAGTATTTGGCTGCTTTAAATGTTCACTTAATAAGGCACTTCGTTGAGCGATCATTTGTGGCCAGGTCGTTTCTGAATAAAATATCTGTATAGCTCGGTTGGCCTTACCTGGAAAAATAAAAATAGTTTTTGAGTTATTTTTCATACTTGTGGTACAACCCAAAAAACACGTCAGATAATGAATGACATTGTTCAAAAACTAATTTCTACGCGTAGCTTTGCATACACTTCCTCACAATTCTACGTGGCTCATTTTGAAACCTTACACAGCCACAGGGGTTGGTGAGGGGCTTTTGATAAATCATGAAATATATCCACCCTCTGTCATGTGCTCCGCATGAGGCAATGAGGTGCTAGAGGCTGAGCTGCATGTATACAACATTCTCACCCGCTCCGGATTAATGGATTTGCACCACGAGATCATCACAAACCGCGCTGTCTGCATCGGAGACGAGGGCAAAGGGGCGGCCAGCGATATCATGTTGACTCGGTGTGGATTTACTATTCACACGAGGTGGCGAGTCATAGAAGCCTGCATTGAGGCATTACTAACAAAAACCCAAGCGTTATGCAACTACGGTTACCACCTGTCCTGCTTTTCCGAGGATTGTCCTCTTTTGATCTCTGCCTTTTGAAGTAGCCGTCCTGGGAATTCTGGAAGCTTTTTTCTCCTGGACATGAAACATCCCGCTCCGTGCAAATGCGTTTACGCGCAGTTCTGCACCCTTTCCGGCATTCCGAGATATTCTGTACTCCAAGGCATGTTCCGGTTTTCTGTACCTCAGAGGTGGCAACCCTATATGAAAGGCGGAAGGGGAAGCGCAGAATCGCTCCGTTACTCGATGACTTCTTGACCCAAGGCGACACGAGGCGCCATTTCACGTGGCGAGCTGCTGAAATGTGAAGGCTATAGCTTTCCCGAAGCGGGCTTCAATTTAGACATCTGGGGGCGGGGGGGGGGGGGGGTGGTGTGCCAGTCCTCTCAGTGTTACACGAAAGATGAGCTCGGAGCGGAGCTGAGAAAAATTAGGAGGCGTACACAACAGAGAGGCCCTCAACGGGATACTTTCGACTTACCTTCCGCCTTTTTTTTTAAAGTTATCCATTTGCGTGGAGCAATTGCAGCGCCCCGTGCCTATACCCTGCGCAATAGAGCAGTGGCACAGCTGGTTCGCACACCGTGCCACGAACCCGGCACGTCGGGTTCAAATCCAGGGTCCCGGCTAATTATCGATGACGAAGTGCTATCCGTGCAAAGCTTGGACACCCCTCTCCACGCCTCCGATTAGCACGGTTGGCCACGTACGATTTTCAGGGTTGGCTACGTACGGTTCGAAAGAAGTTCAAAAAGTCATCCGTGAATGATACTAACCAACGTGGTGAAGTTTGCTCAGACATCTGCCAGGACTGGTTTGGGGAGGCTTTCGTCCAGCAGTGGATTGACAAAGTACTGGAAATTAACATCAATATTTAAACAGTCATATCTAAATGTCGCAGTATGGGGGGCGGTGGGGAGGTGGGTGTTAGCAAGCGCACGTGATGACAGCAAAAGAGGAAAGATATTTGTAGGTGTGCATGTATGTGGAGTAAAAAGGACAGCTGTTATGGGCATTAGAGAGGCCTCACAAAAATAGTTCTGTCATCGCACACAACCGGTAGTGGTGGTGTAACGCTGACGGAGGGCAAAGGTTCCTTCTTTGCGAATGTTTTGATCCACAAAATGACAGCGATCGTGCTTGGTGTCTCTTCAAGGGGAAGACAAGCTACTTTGGTTTGACACTACTTACTGTGCACGGTTTGGACATGTAGTTCAAGTGTTATTTTATTTAATTTTGGAAATATATACACTTTTAGACTGGTTTGTAATTTTGAGGACTTTACTGTTTGTGGTGAAAACGTGGTTATTTTGGCACTTACTTCTCGTGAATGAGGCTTTAAAGTTGAAAATTGCCCTCTGACCAACGGCAATAAATGCAAGCATCGATTATTTTAAAATAATTCCCGTACAATCCTAGGGAATAACGATTTTCAAGTCGTGTGAGAGTGCGTGGAATACAATGCGGCTGGATAAATACGAAGTCACGTTGATAGAAAATTAATGGAGCACGACGTTTCGATCGCAACACAAGCAACCGTCATCAGGTGAAACAAAAGAGAGCAGGAGGACTGCTGAGGTCAGCATCGAAACGTCGTGATCTATTAATTTTCTATCAACGTGACTTTACCGAAAGAACCAAAGAGTATGGTTTCCTGCAGTCACGAAAGCTTCAAATCAAGATTCCTATTGAGCTTTTTTAAAATTACGGTAAAGGCAAAAACACTGTGAAATGCGAGGAGGTGCGTAGTATAGCACTTTAGCAGTATTACTATTATATCATGAATGACTTCAGGCCATGACTTCGGTGGCCACGGACATTGCACGTAACATATAAATAGATAAATGAATAAGCAAGTTGAAACATTGTCCGCCTCAAGTGGCCGTGCGAGTTTCCCCCCCCCCCCCTCCGAGGAAGAAGAAGTTGAAGGTCGCACGCCACCTCGAGTTGCGATGCAAAGAAGAAATGTACACTCGAGCGGAGAGAGCTGGCAGCAGGTGCAACATAATTTGTTGCTTGTTTATCGACAAACGATAGTCGGGGCACAGCCCCACCGAGGGGAGCGTGGGCCAAAGGGCAGACAGATGCTCCCACCTTGGGGCGAGGAGTTGTCGCGGCCAGCCGGGGATGGCTCGAGGGGTATACAGCTGTGTCCAGGGT